GTTCAAAGCCATTCATCTCACATTGTGCACCATTGACCAAAAGATGGATTCCACAAAAGAGGGGAGACAAATAAAATGCAAAATCCTTTTCAGCATTGAAAAACTGCTCGAAGCTCACATTTCTTTATTTGTGAGACAGTAGCCTCATCTTCATACCCAGACAATAATACAATTTCATTCTATTCCTTTAGCTTTCCGATATTTTTATCTGTAACAGGAAGCATTCAGAGCTAAATACATATAGCTTTGCCTTCTGCCATAACACTGATAAGTTGCCTTTGTTTGAGAATATTAAAAATAAAAGAGGAATAAAAGAGGAAGACAAAGTCTTCCTAGCTGTGAGAAAATAGACATCTGATTACAAGTTATCCAAGGATTCCATGCAGCGATTATTTTCTCTTTAAGACTTTTTGACAAAATATTTGATGCAGTGTTCAGATTTCATGTGTTAAACTATGTCATGAAATTTCACAAAACAAAGACAAGCAACGCTCTTCAGGCCCAACCTGACATGCTTTGCCATTCTGCATTCAAAAATAAAATACTTCATTTATCTGAGCTTTCAGTTTTAAATGAAAAATTATATTATATATCAGGGAATTATATTTATTTTATTATGTATTCATACTTAAGGCATTTTCCTCCCTAATGATTAATACTTGTCATGTTAAATAGAAGACAGGAAGACTGTATTCAGACAATGTGGTAAACATTTGTACTCCAAATTTTATGATATATAGTTCTGATATTTTCTTAATTTCTCCCATTTAAATGCATCTACTTTATACCGACTACTAATAACAATAGCTAACATTTATTGAGTGCTTCTAAGTTCTGGGCCCTTGACATGGTTTCTATCATTTCTTCCTCACAACAATCATTTGAGGTACTATTACTATTCCCCTTATACAGATAAGGACTTTTGAGGCTTAGAGAATTGAAGCAACCAATCGACAGATGTGCAACTGGTAAGGAAGGTTGCTAGTCTGGGCTCCTGAACTATGCCTTCTGAGGAATGGGATAGTGAGAAGTGTGTTGGTAACAATATTTCATGCACAGCTAATGAGTTGTTGAAAATGTTTCTTCATAAAACTGCATTATTTGACTTGTCTTCCCGATACAAAATAATGCTTAACAGAAAGAAAACTTCAACATTTATAAAATGTACTGGAATAAAAACAAATCCCTTATTCAAAGTAAGAACATGGTAGACCCAATCTGACCAACCTGTATTAAATACTAATTGTTCCCTTTACTCTTCTGTACCTGCACTGGTTTCACAAAGGACAAAAGAAATAACTGCACAGGAATTACATAAAGCCATATATTCTATTTATAAAACTGACTAGACATTGCCAGCACTATCAATGTCTTTAACATTATGATGATATTATAGTTGATATTTCCCTTTAATAAAAATATAAATCACTGTTTATTCCCTGAAGCTAACCTCATTCATGCTAAATTATTTATGTATCCATTTTAATATGTATTTTGCATCTGACAGGAGAACTCTCCTTAGGACCATTTTACTGACCCACCTGTCATTATGATGGGGTAAACAATGTCACCTTTCCAGTGCACAATGAATTACAAAATGTTGCAAAGTACACCATCCATCATGCTGGCACTAAGTAGGTTTTCGAAGTAGATCTCAGATATCACAAATGCTGTTTAGACTGTTAGCAGAAAGCAAAAATTGGAAGCTTATACAAAACGGTCATATGATGAATGGACATGACAGCTCTTCAAAGTAAAAGGGCATGGCTCTTCTACAAATAACCTTGTCAAAAGCAAAAGTAGCGGGGAGCTTTGCTGGCAGTTAGACTAGAATAATTTAAGAACTTGTTAATGGCACTGCCTGATAGAAATTCATGCAAATACAGTGTATTCAAAATCAAAAAGTCGGTATGCCTGAGTCATCAGCAGCAACCTCTCAAGCTTGATTTGAATTGGGAAATAGTCTGAAGAGACATAGAAAATTCACCAGTGTCCTATTAATTAGAATATGCGAGTTTCAGTAATACACCTATCTAAAACATGTATATAAAATATATGCAAGTATTCTATATGCATATAAAATAGTCACCAAGAAATTGCTTTGCTTTTGAAAATTATAATACTAATATAGTAAAAGTTTAAAAAGTCAATATCACATTATGTCCTTTATTTATATAAATCTTTAAATTATTATGTACTTAGTGTAATAGATTTGAATTATTAACATAATTCTAAAAATACTTACTGCCAGTGTTGTCATCTAATTTGCACGGTTAATTTCTTAAATTATGTTCTTCAAATACAAAGTGTTTGTTTTATCTATAATTGCATTTTAGTTCCTTTAACATTATTCCCTTCTATCTAGGCCTAATATTTCACACATGGAATACACTTCTACATCTATAGCTAACTTTATTTCTCCCTTTTAATAGCTATATTATTTAAAATCTTTTTCACCACTTCTTTATTGAAAATGGTATTTTTTAATTCAAATATAGTTAATTTATAATATTATATTGGTTCCAGGTATGCAACATAGGGATTCAATATTTTTATAGATTATACTCCATTTAAAGTTATTATAAAATATTGGCTATATTCCCTGTGCTGTACAATATATCTTTGTAGCTTATTTACTTTATACATAGTAATTTGTATTTCTTAATCTCCTATCTTGCCCTTCGCCTTCCCTCTCCTCACTGGTAACCACTAGTTTGTTGTCTATATCTGTGAGTCTCTTTTTATTTTGTTATATTCATTCACTTTATTTTTTAGATTCCACACATAAGTGATAAAATAGAGTATTTTCCTTTCTCTGGCTGACATTTCACTAAGCATAATATCCTCCAGGTCCATCCATGTTGCTTCAAATGGCAAAATTTCATTTTTTATGGCTGAGTAATATTCCATTGTGTGTGGGCGCCTGTGTGTGTGTGTGTGTGGGCGCCTGTGTGTGTGTGTAAAAAATTACACTGCTATGAACATTGGGGTGGGTGTATTTTTTTGAGTTAGTGTTTTTGTTTTCTTCAAATATATACCCAGAAGTGGAATTGCTCAGTCATGTGGTAATTCTGTTTTTAGTTTTTTGAGGAACCTCCATACTGTTTTCCATAGTGGCTGCACCAATTTACACTCCTACCAAGTTAATACTAGAGTTCCATGACTTATGACTTCGCAGATACTTAACTACTTCCATGATTCTATAGTAGACCTTGGTTTTCTTTTATATGAAACAAAGAGAAAATTTAAACACTTAGAACTGATAAGATAAATGTGTGAAAATCCCACAGAGATATGGTTACACAGGAATATATAAAAAAAAAAAAATCCAATGTGCCCAGGCAATTATTAAAGAGGTACACACTAAGGCAACTGAGACACAAGCTATAGTTCCACGGCTTTTCCATATCACCTCAGTCCAGGAATAATGGATGTTTGCCAGAGGAAACTGGAAAGAAAATAGATGGGGGTGATTCCAAGGATCCTCTCAAGCTTCTGGGGTTTTGCTCTTGTTCTGTGTTTTGGACATGCTTTTGTTTAAGGAAGGAGATGACTGTGCTGTACTTGAATCAACCAGGATAAAGAGCAGCCTGGAAATGTGTAGGGCTTATGTAGGGTTGGGAGTCTAAAATATGTGGGGTAACTTTAGAATCTCGACTTGGGACCAAAGTTTCTGAACCAAAGAAAGAATGCTGGCGGCCTCCCTCTATTTTCATTAGTACGCAAGTACTTTTCCATTATTGCCTATCAGACATAGTGTATATTCATCAAGTCAAATCATGAGTCCTACACTAGAAATATTACAAACATTTAATATTATGTTAACTTTTAATTAATAAAAAGGCTTTCAAGGTGGTGCTGGTTATATGCGGTTCTGCTAAATATCAGAGAATGTTACAACACAGAACAAGAACAATGCCAAAGCAGTGGTTAGCTGCTTCTCCTCATGCCGCATCCGAAAAAAAAATTTTTTTAATTGGGAACAAGCATGTATTTCTGCAATGTAATTTTAAGTGATTTAAATTAATCATCTTAATCACAGTTAATAATAAGTTGGATTCTTAAAAATCTGTGCCAATAATCAACAATCAGAAACAGCATTTCATTCATATAAAATCTATAGAAGAAATCGTTTTATTAAAAAAACTGAATGTGTTTATTCAAATGGGACTCTTACATGGAGATGGAAAAGTTGCCTATATAAAGGAAACTAGTGACCAATTAAATGCTATGGTTTCTAACTGCTCTCTTGTCCTTACCATAGGCTAAGCTCTATCCTCCAAGATTTACATATATTAATTAATTTAATTCTCATAACAAGCTTATGAAGCTGGAACTATTATTATCCCCATTACAGAGATGAGAAAACTCAGCCCTATATGCTTAATTAACAGTGGTAATTGGGCAGCTGAGATTTGAAACTAGTCCACGTGGCTCTAGAAGCTGTGCACTTAACCACAATGCCAAAAAACCACCACATCAAAAAAACCAGCTAACCCAGAAAGACTAAAGCAATAATTCACACCTCGTCCCTTGTTTATATTTTCCATCATAAAGCAGACACACTGTATGTCAAATCTTAAATGTGTGAGTAATCACATCAATTTTCCACTTCATTTCTTGTGTGCATACACAATTTCAAAACACAACTGCTTCCATTTCTATTCTTTCTGTCCACATTGATCTATTAAAATTTGCCTCTTCAGAACCAAAGAACGAAATGAACTCACACTGTAAGGATTAAGCAAACTGTGAATGACTCAGTCACACACTCAACACTTTTAAATTAAATTCTTCTAACATGTTTTCACTTTCAAAATATGACAAGAAAAGGGTCAGGCAATTCAAATCTTCCTTCCCCTTTCCTGGCACCTCCACACTGAGAATATTTACTGGTTATTTTGGTATGGTGCTTCTTGCCAGTTAGTTCAATTTAGATGAAAGCTGTTGTTTTCTAATTTCATTTCACTGTAAATGACAGAGACAAATTGTCATATTACCTTGAGAGTTCCACTGGCAGAATAGGCTGCATATGAGTACAGCGGATCTTGGCTGCCGTGTTGTCTGGCTTCTTCGCTGCAAGGCTGGCCATTAGGATGAAAGCACTGGCCACTGCTACTTAGAGTCACTGAGCTGGGAGAAGGGCCTGGCAGGTTCAGCAGCACAGAGTAATTTACAAACTGTATGTCTTCTAGGCCCAAAGAAGTCCACTGAGTCTTAATCTTCTTTAATATTTCTATGTCGTTTTCACTTTTGTACAGTTGTACCAAATTTCTGAAAGAAATTTAAAAGGTATATTCTAAAAAAAAAAGGAAATCTTTATTCTTTCAAATGGTGGTGATTCAGTATACGAACCATTATTAATAGATGTGGGATGTGAAAGATGCGTGAGACAGGACACTACACAAGAAATTCACAATTTGGTAGAGGTGATGAGCTTTACAGAAATTATAGAAAATCAAAGCAGAATGAATTAAATTCAAATTAAGAACTAATAAAGTTCTATGGGACTACAGAGAAGAGAAGAATTAATACCAACTAGCTCTTTTATTACTTCTGATCCTTCTATTGACAACAACATAATCTATTTAAAACTCGGCTCCAAACCTAGGGGTCATGTTGGTTGAGACAGTTCTGCACTGTAGTTAATATGATTACATATAAAGCTATGTGATTAATACACAGATATTGGTATTTAAAAAATGATTCAGAGGGAACTCTTCTGATACAAATTACATGCCAAATTACATGATGCTATGAACATAACGATATGCAATAAAATCAGTATATTGTGGCAAAACCAACCACAGATTGTCAAACCAATATGAAGTTAATTTTTGTGTGTGCTTGCTGTGTAGTCTATATATTTATTCCTATACTTGTTCCATAACCCATAATGACACTATTTTTGCTTAGGACATCCTAGAAACCAGAAAAGCTCTGTTTAAAAAATGCATAGAACCTAGAAAAGCATGAGATATGGGAAATTAAAAAATAAAAATTTAATAAAGTTTTGCTTTGTTTTGGGCTAGAATGCAAAGGAACCAGCTCTTTTTTTGGCAAAAAATCTTCCTATAAGCATTTTATTGTTATCCAAACTAATACCTAAGTGGAAATTTTACTATAGTTGTCATTTTTGCCCATCAAATTATTTTTCTCACACATGCTTATTTTAGGACCCTGTTTATTCAAGAACCCTCAATGAAACATATTTGAAAAAAGAATAAGAAACAGGCACAATGGAAAAAAATACATAGGATGGTATAGGAAAGCATTACTGGAGAAAAAAGGTCTGTTGACACAGCTTAAAAGCTGGTATATACAGGAAGGTGCGATGACAATTTACCAATTGTTTTCTATCTTTTAAAGGTTATTTCTATTCTTTTTAAAAAAAATATCTAATTTGACCAATCATCAGTGTCATGTAAATTTTATGGAAAAACTTATGGAAGAATTCTACTTTTTATTCTGAATAATACTGGTCAGCCTTGTATTTTTTTTTTTCTTTTTTTGGTGGGGAGGCTTTTTGAGGTATAATTGACAAACGAAATTGTATATATTTAAAGTGTAAAACATGATGATTTAATATACATGTATGGTGTGAAATTATTATCACAATCAAATTAACACATCCATCAACTCACCTTTGTTACTTAGTTGTGTGCCTGTGTGTGTTGAGACCACTTAAGATCTACTCTCTCGGCAAAATTCAAGAATGCAATACAGTATTGTTAACTATAGTCACCATGCTATACGTTAGATTCTCAGAACTTATTCATCTTATAACTGAAGGCTTCTATTCTTTGACCAACATCTCCCCATTTCCCTCAACGCCCAGTCCCTGACAACTATGATTCTACCCTGTTTCCAAGAGTTTGACTTTTTTTAAGATTCAACATGTAAGTGATATGCTGCAGTCTCTGGCTTTCTTGGTCTGGCTTATCGCACTTATCACAGTGTTCTCTGAATTCATCTACATTGTCGCTAATGGCATGATCTCCTTTTTTAAGGCCGAATAATATTATTGAATGTGTATATTGTATATACATACCACTTTTCTTTATCCATTCATCTGTCCGTGAACACTTAGGTTGTTTTCATACTTTGGCTATTGTGAATAATGCTGCAATAAACATGGCAGTGCAGATATCTCTTTTAGATACTGACTTCATTTTCTTTGGATATATACACAGAAGTAGTACAGCTAAATTGTGGTAGTTCTAGATTTAATTTTTTGAGGAACCTCTATACTATTTTCCATAATGGCTCTACCAGTTTACATTCCCACCAGCAGTGTACAATTTTACCTTTTCTTCACACCCTCACCAGCATTTGCTATCTAGTCTTTTTGACAGATCTCCTAACAGGTGTGAGGTGATATTTCATTGTGGTTTTGCTTTGTATTCCCTGATGATGTTGAGAACCTTTCATGTATCTATTGGTCATCTCTGTATCTTCTTTGGAGAAATATTAAGGTCCTCTGCCCAGTTTTTAAGTGTTTTTTTTTCTTTTTTTGCTAATGAATTGTGTGAGTTTCTTACATATTTTAGATATTATCCCCTTATTTTCTCCTATTCCATAGATTGCCTTTTTATTTTGTTAATCATTTCCTTGGCAAAAAAAATTGCCAAGACCAATGTCAAGAAGTATTCTTTTTTAGGAGTATTGCAGTTTCGGGTCTTACATTTAAGTCCTTAATCCATTTCAAGTTAATATTTATGATGGAGTAAGACAGGGGTTTCTTTTGCATGTGTACATTGTTTTCCTCACATGATTTATTGAAGACACTGTTCTTTCCCCATTGTGTTCTTGCCTCCTTGGTCAAAAATTAATTGACCATATATATTGGGTTTATTTCTGGGCTCACTATTCTGTTCCATTGACCTATTTTCTATGATTAATTTGCTTCATTGATCATTTTTGATCAAACAGATCATTGATGTGTTTGGATGACAAAATAATCTTTTGATCACTATAGCTTTGTAATATAGTTTGAAATCAACAAGTTTGATGTGTCCAGCTTTGTTCTTTTTTTCTCAAGATTGCATTGGCTATTCAATGTCTTTTGTGGTTCCATATAGATTTTAGAAATGCCACTGGAATTTTGATAGGGATTACATTGAATCTGAAGATTGCTTTGGGTAGTGTGGACATTTTAACAATATTAGTTCTTCAAATAAGAACATGAGATATCTTTCCATTGATTTGTCTTAATTTTTTTCATCAATGTCTTAAAGTTTTCAGTGTACAGGTCTTTCACCTCCTTGGTTAAATTTATTCTGAAGGATTTTATCCTTTATTCTAGGCTTCCAATTTGTTGGCTGATATTTGTTCATAGTAGTCTCTTAAGTTCCTTTGTATTTCTGTGGTGGCAGTTGTAATGTCTCCTCCTTTATCTCAGATTTTATTTGAGTCTTCTTTTTTCTTAGTGTAGCTAAAGGTTTGTTGATGTTGTTTATCTTTTCAAAAATACAGCTCAGTTTCATTGATCTTTTCCATTGCTTTTCTGGTCTCTATTTCATTGATTTCTGTTATTTACTGATCTTTGTTATTCCCATCTTTCTGCTAACTTTGGGCTTAGTTTGTTCTCTTTCTACTTTCTTCAGGTGTAAAGTTAGATTGCATATTTGAGATCTTTCTTTTTTCTTAAAGTATTTATCACTATAAACTTCTTTTTAAAACTGTCTTTGCTGCATCCCATAAGTGTTCATATGTTCTGTTCCATTTTTTCTCAGGATGTATTTTGATTTCCCTTTTGATTTCTTCCATGACACACTGGTTACTCAGGAGTATGTTGTTTAATTTCCATGTTTAAAATTTTTCCAGCTTTCTTCCTATTATTGAGCTCTAGTTTTATACCACTGTGGTCAGAAAAGATATTTGATACGATTTCATACTTCTTAAATTTGCTAAGTCTTGCTTTGTGACCTAAATTATGATCCATCCTGGAGATGTTCTATGTGTGCTTGAAAAGAAGGGGTATTCTGTTGCTGTTGGGTAGTATATTTTGTATATGTCTGTTAGGTTCATTTGGTCTAAAGTGTAGTTCATATTCAATATCTCCTTACTGATTTTCTGTCTGGATGATATATCCATTGTTTAAAGTTGGGTATTGGAGTCACCAACAATTATTATATTGTTCAGATCTGTTAATGTTTGCTTAATATAGGTGCCAACGTTCAGTACCTATATACTTACAATTGTTACATACTCTTAATGAATCAATCCCTTTGTAATTACATAATGACGTTCTTTGTGTCTTTACAGTTTTTAAAGTAAGTCTATTTTGTCTGATGTAAGATTGTAGGTGTCCTCAGTGGCCAAGGTTGTGACTATACACAGTAGCAGTGAGGGCTGTTTGGTAGCAAAGGCTGCTGGGGACTCCCCATCTCTTTTTCTCCCATGTAGGATGTTTTGGCTGAAGGGATCCCTCTTGGTGCCTGGTTGGCTTGCAGGGCTATTACAGTGAGGGTGACATGGGTGTCTGATGAATGGACACCCATAGAGTAATCACAAAGCCAGGGTCTGGAGTATAGGTGCTTGTAGAGTGATAGCAGCTCCCAGGATCCAGGACATTGGTCAGCCTACAGTGGCAGTGACTCTATTGCCTAAGTCACAAGAACACATGGAATGGCAGCTATGTCCAGGTCTAAAGTGCAGGTATAGCAGAGTAGCCATGGTTCTGAGTTCTGGGGAATGTGCACGGTTAGGGGGGTGGTGGCAGCCCTGGTTCTGGGGACTCTGCAACAGCAATTCTTTTGGGTGTGGGGAGGGACAGCAGCATCTCCCTCTCCTGGGAGTCTGCAGCAGTGATGGCTTTTGGTTACCTCAGTGGTGAAAGCTGCTGGTATCCTCTAAGCATCAGGTCACTGAAGTCCATGCCAATGAACATTTTGGGGCCTCCCACCATGAAAGCTGTGGGGAGTTTGTGGCTGTCGGGGTGTTACAGTCCTGAGTGACAAGACTGTTAGGATCCTCCACAGAGCCAACCACTGGGGACCATGGTTGATACCAATAGCCTCCACCCTTCTTGGTTCCTAGCCATCTTTGGATGTCCCAGCTAAACTGATCTCCCCCACAACCTTTCTCCCTTTTCTTTTTTTGATCCACTGTGTTGCTATAGCCCTCCCAGACCTATTTTAGTGCCTGGGTATCTAATTTTTTTTTTTGGTGGTGGGGAGGAGGGGTGAATACAGGCTAGTATTTCCTACTCCCTCATCTTGCTCTCTTCCCTGTTCTTTCATTGCTGTATCTGATCTCTGCCTCTGCAACTC